ATCATCATCATCATCATCAACGTCATCATCATCAGCAGCATTAACATCATCATCGTCATCATCATCGTCATCAACAATAGTATCATCATTCGCATCATTGTCAGCAACAACACCATTACCGTCATGGTCACCAGCATCATCACCATTACCAGCACCATCACAATCACAATCACCACCCTCATCCTCGTCCTCATCCTCATCATCAGCCCCCCTTCTCCTCCTCCTCCTCCTCCTCCTCCTCCTCCTCCGCATCATCGTCATCATCACGATCATCATCACCATCACGATCATCATCATCATCATCATCATCATCATCATCATCATCATCATCATCATCATCAGCATCAGCATCGGCATCATCATCAGCAGTATCCTCAAGCTGGAAATCTCATCATCTTCGTCGTAGTTGTCGTAGTCGTCGTCGTCATCGTCATCAACATCACCACCACCATCATCGCCTACGTCCTGCTCGTCGTCATCGCCATCATCATAAACACCATCAGCATCACCATTTACCATCACCATCATCATCAGCATTATCAGTGCCGACATCATTATCATAATCAGCATCAGCAGCATCATGCTAATCATCAACATCACCACCACCATCATCACCATCATCATCACCATCACCATCAGCATCATCATCAGTATCCTCGTCATCGTCATCGCCATCGTTCGTCATCATCACCACTTATATCATGCCATCTTCATCGTCATCGTCAGCATCAACATCATCGTCATCAGCATGGTCATCATCAGTAGCAGCAGCATCATCAGCATCATTATCGTCATCATTATCCTCGACATCATCATCATCATCATCATCACCATCACCATCACCATCACCATCATCATCATCATCATCATCATCATCATCATCATCATCATCATCATCATCATCATCATCATCATCATTTTCACCATCAACATCATCAGCATCGTCATCATCATCATCACCAGCATCGTCATCGTTACCATCACCCCCTCGAAAAGTCGCTACCCAGAAAGCTGAGCTGGCACGGTGGCGGGACTTGCCGCAGGCGGCTGTAGTCTCATGCCTAAAGGGTTATTTGTTATTGAACCCCCCAACTGGTGCAACCTGTGTGTTTCCGATTGGAGTGCCCCTCCCGGAGCTCGCACCTTGCCTTTACAAGGGGAAGTCCTCAGTGTTAGATTGGCCTCCCAGCCCCTGAACTACAACAACAGTGGCTCCCGCCTGATACTTCCTCGCAGGCTGCCGCCGACCCCACCACACCCTCACTCATATCCGCAAGTGTGGTGTGCTGCGTACATCTTCAGACAGACGTGCACACGACACAATCCATATACTCTGAATAGCGGGTCCTCCCTCAGGCTCCCCAGGCCCGGCGCCGAGTCGTCGCCGCGGTAGGAGGCCTCCTCAACCAAGCTGCGAGCGGTCGCACGGCTGTCCTCCCGGCTGCCCTCCTGCGGGGAGGGCCGACGCAAGAGGAGCCATACCGCCCCAGCTGTCCGCGTGCCTGCCCTCTCCCCAGAAGCGCAGGCCCCGAATCGCGCTCCCCGTTCCAGAATGGAGCGTGACGAGCGTGCCCTCCTGGGGCATCCTTGCCGGCAAACGTCGTGAGTCCCTGCCACGGCGCCCAGGCTTCAAGGGACGCCGCCCTCTGGCCGTCTTGCGCAGACGGGGGTCTGGGCACGTCCCCCAGACCCCCCGGCGCGCCCAGGGGGGGGGGGGGAAGGCAGAGGGAGGGGGCGGGCCTGCTCAGGAGGCTCCGAAGGCCTCCGGCCTTCTGAGAAGCTTTCGGTGCCTTCCCCGAGACCGCAGGGAGCTTCTCGGAACGGCCGGAGGGCTTCTGAGAGGCTCCGCCGTCCTCTGCGAAGGCCTGCGGGCTCTCCCTTCCCCCCTCGGCGCGCCGCAGGCAGACCCCCGACCCTCATTTCTATCCATACTAGGGGGAAAACAAACCTACCTCGCTTTTGACCACCCTCGCTTCCAAGAGATACCAAGCGATGCCAAACTACGGCATGTACTGGTCAGGCCGCTTGACGAGGAGGCGTATGGTATGGCTTGGTTTTGCCTGGAAGCGAAAGCGGGGTAGGTCATGCACGCTCTGACATACGCGGGGCTCCACAGCTGCCGGCCACATCTTTCACACTTTTCGCACGGGCCCGGTCGCGGCACGCCGCGATGCCCTAGAGCCCGCATCTTAATATTCCCGACGACGCCAGTGACAAGCCCCGCCCCCCCCCCCCGTCTCCGCCACCCCGGTCACGTCACGATTCGCGTCAGCGCCGTGTGGGGATTGGACATTCCCAAACATTCCCAGACAGCGCCAGCGTGAATTGTGATGCGGCCAGCCCCTCCCACCCTACCCCCCCCTCGGTCAAGCCCATTGTCGCAAAGGGATAAAACACGATGTCCTACAATGTGGCAGCGCGCAGTGGTCAGCTACAGGAAGCACATACGATAAGAAATGCTGCTACAAGAAATCTTGAAACACATTCATCGTCTATTTCTGAGCATCCTAAGGTGCCCATCGCTTCCGTAGGTCCCTCGCGCCATCGGGGGATAGGGACATGTCTGTGGGACACCTGCTGGCAAATCGATTTCTTTTTTGTTTTGCCTACACGCCAGTCGGAAGTAGGTACGCACGTGAGGTAGGAAGGCGGATAAAGTAGATTGGATTCAGGCCCTCCCAAAGAGTAACAAAACACATCAAAACCATCCCGACGTTTGAAGTGGGAAGGCGAGAGAAGTAGATTGGGATTTGGAAATTCAGCAATGCCTACTTTCAACGACCGACGGGCGCTGCATTCCATGCATCAGTCCATAGCCTGAGCCTCAGAGGCCAAGGAACAGGCATGATCATCCGCATCCAAGAGGGGACTGCTTCCACGACCGCCGTGCCCGATCGGCCCCCCTCCCCCTCTCCGCCCCTCCCCCTCCGCCCAGGCAGGGCCGAGGGCCAAAAGGGGAGCACCGGTCCTTCAGGGGGTCGCCACCTCCTCGGGGAACCGGAACACCCTGGAGCCCCCAGGACCCCTGCCGGGATCCCCAAAAAGACGCCCCACGGCACAGGACGAGGTGGCGACCTCCCCTTGTGGTGAACCCCCCTCTGCACTGCCCGATCCCCCCCCTCGCCATGCTCCCTCCCCCGCCCACGCCGTCCTGCGAGGAGTCCAGGACGTCGGCCCACCGGGGCCTCGACGCGTCGGCGGGCAGCATGGCGACCCCGTCCTCGGGGGCGCCGCAGGGAAGAGCGCCCCCGCTGGGGGCGATGGGCGGCCGCGGCCCCCTGATCCTGGAGGCTCGGGTGGGCTCCCCACTGGCCACTGCCACCCTCGCGGGCCCATCGTGCGCTCGTCGCCATGAAAAAATGCAGCTTTCCCACGGGACACGCGATCGGGTCTGGGGCGCACCCCTGCGGCCCGCGCGCCCAGCACAGGTGCCGAAGAGCCCCAACTCTGGGGGGGAGGAGGAGAAGCCATGAAATCTACGGCCGCATTCAGTGCAATGTGTGGCGTATGGCGCAGAATTGCATACATGGTGGAGGACATATATGATCCAGGGCTCCGGCCCCCCCCAATGCTAGTGGGATCGCCCGCCCGCCCCCCGCTGGACGGGTTCGTCCGTGCGCCTCGTGAAAGCCTCGTGAATGGGATCGCCCCGCCCCGCCCCCCGATGTGGTCGTGGCCCTGTGGGCGTGGCGTGGTGGAGGGGGGTGCCAGTGCCCCCGCCCCTCCCCCTGTGGGTCTGGGGTGGTGCTGCGGTGCCGTCGTCGTCGTCGTCGCCGCCGTCGTCGTCGTCGTCGTCGTCGTCGTCGTCGTCGTCGTCGTCGTCGACGTCGTCGTCGTCGTCGTCGTCGTCGTCGTCGCTGTCGTCGTTGCTGTCGTCATCGTCGTCGTAGTTGTAGCCGTCGTCGTCGTCGTCGTCGTCTTCGTCGTCGTCGTCGTCGTCGTCGCCGTCGTCGTCGTCGTCCCCCCCATCCAATCTGTGGGGGGCCTTTGGAACCCTGGGAGACATTCCATCTGGGAGGGGGTGGCCCGTGAACCCTCATGAGTACTCGACCTGGGATCATCTATGGTGTACCTCGGGTTGGCGGTGGCGGGCCTATGGTGCCTACCTCTGAATGTTGGAAAAGCCACTGGTGCCATTCTGTGCCCACCTCGTCGCGTCCACAGGGACTTCGCACCTCCCCCTGTGGTGGGGAAGTGGGGGGACCTGCCCCCGCTGGCGTCGCACGTACTGCGCCAGGGATGGAGGAGAGGAGGTCTCCTGCGAACCCCGGAACGACACGGAGGCCCGAAAAGGACCAGAGCAGCACAAATCTGAAACCTCGGCCCCGGAGGAAGGAGGAAGATGAAGAGGCGGAGCACAGATCGGCGAACTTGTCTAGCTTTGTCTTCACTATGGACCTCCTGGACCTCTCGGCCCATTCCCAGGGACTGATGTTCTGCACTGCGTTTTACGCGTACGTGTTTGTTGCTGAACGGCGCCAACGTCGATAGTGCCCTCCGCGGGATGTGCCGTGCAGGCTGCTGTCTGGCATAGCCCTCGGAAGCAAAGTTAATCCTCCAACGGTTACGATATCCAGCCAGCAGCGAGACAACACTCGCGCCCTGGATGGCGGGTGCAAAGAAGAGGCGCCCTAGACGGATGTCGGCTCGCCCAACCTTCAGCTCCTCGAGATCGGCCTCGTCTACCACTTAACACACTGCCGCAATAAGTGAATCGCGCGCGGGGTCATGCGTAGGTCATGAAACACCTTCAGCAACCTTCACGACCAGTTGACACGCTGGCGCAGTAAAACGCCAAGACTCCAAACGGAAGGTTCACCTCGGAAAGCTGACGAGGAACTGTGCGTAAAAGGCGCGCGGATGTAGAAATGGCTATGCTTATCTCTGAAACACCTGGTCATCCTCTTCGATTGATCTGAACCAAAACATCGCCCTTTCGCCATACAACTGTGGCGCAATCGGCAAACCCAGGCCATTTTCACTATATCGAGCGCTGCGCGTCATAGAACGTTGGCAGTTTCGGGGATCGCACCAACAAGTAAGTTCTGTAACCTGTGCGCGTCGCCTTCCTCCAAGCCGCTATCAAGTTGAAAGAAATACTTTGACTGCCATGCCTTCGCACTGCGTGCCTTGTCTGTGTTTGGCAACGACCACGGGGGGTACAACATCAACGAGCTCTGCTCACCTCTGCGAGGGATGCCTGGAGCTACAAGGCCACGTTGTAACAGTTCGAACATAGGTATAACAAATATGCCGACCAACCTCTGGCCTCTGATCAATTGCACTATAAGCGCGTCAAATTCGTCGGATGAAAAACGCCTATCCGCCACCGTGCCTACAAGGCAAGAGCCAGAGTGTCCTCAGGTTCCTTGGGGGCCTCGGTCCTCGGTCTTGAGAACCTTTGAAGGGCCCAGACCTCCGATTCTCGAATCTCTCCGAGCGTGGCGCGGCACTCCTGGGGCCATCGCGAATCGAGCAGCCGAGGCTCCCGTGGCGCTCGCAAGCCCCCGAGGGGCGTCCGATAGTGCCCGAAGGGCTGCAAGGTCGACGCCGTGCAACTCCGGGCCTGCGAGCCGCGGCCCGTGACCCAGGCCGCACTTCAACCTCTCCTGGGTCTTGTCGCGTGACTGTTCGGGCCCGCGATGGGTCCAAAACGGGCCAAGAGGGCCCCCAGAGGCCTTTCGGATGGTACAAAAGGGCTCCGAGTCGCCGAACGATCGGTCCGAGACGCCCCACATGGCCTCCGGATGGCCCAAGAGGCCCCCAAAACGTTCAAAGAGAGCCCCAAGATCACGTCCAAGAGAACCCCGAGAGGCGAATATGTCCCTGAGGTTGTTTTGAAGGATTCTCGTGTTCTCGCCTTGTCGGTCTTCCGACGCTCTCAAACGTCCTGCGAGGTCCCAAATGCCGCTCCAATACGACCTAAAAGGTTTCCAAGAGGGCCCCAAGACGGCTCAAGAAGGCACGGCCCAAGAGGTCTCCAAGACGGCCCAGGAGGCCCCAAGACGGCCCCAACTGGGGCCCAAGCGGGGGAACACAGACTGACTTTGTTTGTCCTACGCCCGACGACGGCCTCTGAGACCACCAGCAAGCCCCCAAGAGGCCTCAAGAGGCCACCAAGAGGCCCCCAAGAGGCCCCAGAACGGCCCCCAAGATGCCTCAGCACTGCATCTAAGAGGCTCCCGAAAGGCCTTCCGGGAGATCACATCATGCAGCCCTGAGGGCACTGACCCACCACCCCAGGCACGGTAAGCGGATTGTGCCGAAGGCCATTCGGATAAATTCCATTCCCAGCTGTCCGTCGCAAAATGATGTTGTAGTTCCCAACGCTGGTACTTGACATTCGGGTGCGAGCTTTCGCCTGAACACGCACTTTACCGTTCAAAAGAAAATCAACTGCACCCATCTGCGTAAAGGGTCTGCTAACGAAGATGCCAACACCTTCCAGCACGATTTTACTCAGTTTGTATGCTAAATATTCAATTTGATGACGCTCCGAAACTGGCATATCCCATACAGCCTCTGGCTGCCGTGCAAACTTGGCACAATCTCCCCACGCCAAGTGTAGTGCATCGGCCACGCCGGCCACACAGCGACGATATGCGTCCCATTTACCTCCGGCTGAGATCGACAAATTTCTTGCACATATGCAAACCCCTGGGATAATCCAGAACTGCATGCAGTCTAGCGCAACACATACCAGCATGAGGCCAGCGTACTCCTTCGTCCCCGTGAACTGATGCGCGCCCCCCCTTCTGCCTGCAGTAGCCTTTACTTGTATGCCGATCCACTCATCTGCTGTGTGCTGCTGCGGCCTGAAGATGCCATCAGCCCGGGTGCCCTCACCTAACCACCGCACCTCGAAGTGGTATCCGACTGTCTTTTCAACTGCTACTTTGGACGCTGCCTCAATCGAAAAGTTGTTGCCATAAAGCTTAAGATTTGAACGTCTGCGATGCTCCGATGTGCTATCAGCCTGCATAATGTTGACTTCCTCAGGCGTCGGGAAATTCAAATAGCGCCACCTCGGGACGTCGAGGTTAGCTGTACGCAGAGCGGCATCATATGCGAGTGCTGCATCAATTGGATTGCTGAACGTACCCAACCACGACTGCCGTCCATCTAAAGTAATGCGGGCAATCCATCTGCGCCTGTCTCTCGACATCGAAACGCCATTGTAACTTCCAGGTCGGAAACTTGCTTCGATACTCGGATAACAACTCCGACCGTCAACCTGCGTCACCTGCGCAATCGTTTTCTGCCCATGCGTTTTCAGACGTGTTATTCGACATCGACTCTGAGTCCAGAAATTCATGGCCAGAGACTTCACAACGATTCAACATGCCACTTTAGCATTGTGATATGAATGCCAGCAGATGCGAAGAACTGCTCAAGATGAGGAGAAATAATGCAGGAACTCTTGCAAACACAGTATGTCGCCGCGCTGTTTGTTCTGAACGCGCCCATGTAGACGAAGCCAGCACCACCCAAAGTCAACTCTGCGTCCGAGGCGGAGTTGACCCCTGGTGACCGAGGCGCTCTCCCCAAGACGTCAGGCCGCGCGCTGGAACAAACGGCGCGGCGAGATGTAAGCGAAAGGATTTAACCTTGAGCCCAAATTGCTACGGCTTTTCGCCCCGTTCGGGGATCTCCTGCAATGGGTCAATGCAGACCCGGGTCAGTCGGGCCCTGCAGGATCCTGCAAGATCCTGCGCGTAAGTCTGGGTCGGTGCACCCCCCTGGCTCTGCAGGCTCCTGCGAAGTCCGGCGCTCTGGCTGACCCCCGTTTGCATGCACCCCCGTCTCAAGGCTCCCGACCCGCGCTCCTTGCTGACGCTCCTAGGGCTCAGAAGCGGCCTGCGTTTTCCGTGTTCTTCTTCAAGGCGTCGGCGGGGGGGGTCTTGGCCCTCCCCCATCAGACTCCGCGTCCGGCCAAACATCTCCAGGGGTGCGCTCCGGCCGGAACCTCCAGGGGAAGTCGGCTGTGGCGACGCCAGCAGGCGACGAAAATTCTACAAAAGCTGAAAACCAAAAACATCGCCCCTCGATCCTCCCCCTCTGCATCGGGGCGTGACAGAGCCTCGGGGCTCCCTTGCGAGCGTCCCGGTGGCAATCTGGAGGCCTTCGTGGCCGCCTCCCCGGCAGCACTGGGAACACCTCAGCGACGAAAAGAAAGAGGTCTCACGCGAGGTGACGTGGCGACCACGCGGCGGCTTACGCGGGCAGCCAGCGCGGCACACCGTCTTGAGGAAAGAGCGAGCACGCGCGACCTCACGTAGGCAGCTCACACGCGAATGCCCGCATGGCCGATCCTCCATCTTACTGTCGCCCACCTTGGGACAGGACCACCTCTGTCGACAACCCGCAGCCTCCCCCCAGTAATTACCTCGTTCCAGGAACCTGGGGTCCCCCGAGAGTATATTTGCAACTCTTGGAAGGTAGACGTTCAATTCCGCCAGCTTCCACCTGTGGACTAGCCTCGGAGATTGGGGGGTTGGATCGAAGTGAAACGTGAGGTGCCCCAACGGGAAATTCGTTACGTTTCGTGCGAGACGTGCGGACGTGCCAGGCGAAGCTGCGCGAGTTCGTCAAATAAAAAGTGTAGCCCCAATCCCAGCCGTGTGATGAGAAGTCCGCAAACCCCGGATCCAACGAAGTAGATTTACATATGTCGGAAGGCAAATGTTTGCCTCCGCTGGCTTCCGCCTGCGCACTGGCATATGTTACTTCCGCCAGCCGTCCGCTGAGAAAGAGATGCGAATTTCTCGATTCCCTTCGATTGAGAGGCTCTCTCTGAAACGCCCTGGTTGGACCCCCGCCCAGTTAATGCCAAGGGGGCACCGCTCAGGGCGTCGCCAGCCCTTCAAAATAGACGACCCATCAGGACTCCCACAGCCCCCCAGAGCCTCCAACATCTCCTCGACCCTTGATCCTCGAACCTCGAAAGGGGGAGCCTGCGACCCCTCTACCCTGAGATCCGATGTCGCGAAACAAACACTTACGTCATGAGAAATCATGGCCGTAGCCCGAGGCCCCATCTTTTTGCGGCAAGCCGATCTGCCTGCGAGATCGCCTGGGAATCCAAATCCGTGCGAAAACTCCGTGTGTCAGACCACTTGCAACGCCTGGATCGCAGAGTAGTGCCGACCCGATCCTCGTCGTCTGGTTGCCATTACTCTGGTCTCCTGCGGCCGTTCGGGACGATCCAAGCGGAAACGCTCTCGGCGAGGCGCAGCTGCTGGAGAGCACCCCGAGACGGAAAACTGCTGGAAACCTACAACAACGTCGGACAACCTCATCTCCCGGACATCCGCCGATCTGAACTTTTTCCAGCTGCGGCCCCTAGAATCCCGGCTACTTCCCAAGAGGGAGCTTTCGTCCCGGACCCGTGTGGTCCTAGAGGAACCGATGACGCGCCCCAGAGCCGGAAATCGAGGAAAGACGCCGGGATTGAAACAACCAGGTCTTCGGAGATCTGGGCTCTTGTCGGCGGCGAGCCCAGGGGGAAGTCAGGGGGGGCGGGCCCCCTCAGAAGGCTCGGAAGGCTTCTGGCAATCTGAGAAGTTGTCTGAGCGGCCTTCCGAGAAGTTCTCTGAACCTTCTCCTAAGGCGCAGAAGCATTATCAGGAGGCTGGGGCCCTTCCAATAGGCCCCGCCGCCTTCTGAGAAGGCCCGCCCTGGGCTCGCCGCCGAGGCCTCGTCGCCGGGGCACTTCCCCCCTGGGCTCACTTCCCCCCTGGGCTCAATCCCCCTGGGCCCGAATCCTTGGGATTCCTAATGTCCCTAGAAAAAAGGACTCCTGAAGATTCCTCATGAAGCCCTGAGGATTGCTGAACGATTCGCATGGATTCCTGAGGTGCTGGTGAATTGGGCTCGCTTCCCCGCTGGGCTCAAGCCCCCCTGGGCCCGAATCCTTGGGATTCCTAAGACTCCTAAAAAAAGGGATTCCTGACGATTCCTCATGAAGCCCTCAGGATTGCTGAACGATTCGTATGGATTC